CTCTTCTTAAATGTCATACACTTGGTGTCTGACCAGCTCTCCAGTCTGCCCAGGTCTCCTGCACTGGGAGCCAGAGGGGTGCTACCTGCTGTCTAGACAACTTTCCTTTCCAAGCTGTGCTGTGGAGTTGGCTCTCACTGAACTCCTGTACTCACCCTGGTGACAGAAGCCTTTAGCTGTACCCCTTGGCACATGAAACAGCTTGTGCAGAAGGCAGCAGTTTCTCAGCTGCTGCTCAGCCTCAGGGCCCCCCGTGCTGCCAGCCAGGCTGCTCTGAGCTGGGCACAGGCAGGGTGCTCGCCCCAGGGTGGCTGTGCTGCTGCTGGGCTCGCCTCCAGCCTCAGAAGAGCTGTCCTTGGGAGGAGCACTAGTGACCGAGCCATGTCCCAGCCAGTCTCAGAGCTCAGACCCACCCACTAGCTAACAAGGGACATTTCTAGCCTCCTCACTAACTATTTTTCCTTCTTTTTTGGTTTAAAAACATAGTTTCGAATAAATGAGTACGGGACGCTCAAGGTGGTGAGTGCTGATAAGACACCTCCCGTGGAAGCTGTCAAGGAGGGTCACACGGAGAAAGATGGGGACACAGAGGTGGCACCCACCAGCAGGGACAATCCCACTGTGGCTCAGGGTAAGGGCACCGTGGTGGCACTGCAGGGGGGGTGCCATCGTCCAGCGGGCGTTCTCTGGTGCAGGCCCTGGGCGAGGCAGACGCCTCCTGCTTCCTGCTCCTCCTCTGCTGCACCCTGTGCCTCAGTGCTCCTCTCCTCCTCACTCAGATGCACCAGAGCAGACCAAGCTGCCCCCAGCAGAAGGCCTGTGCCACTGTGACACCTGTGGCCGGAGACACGTGTCGGACACAGCCCGGGAGGGCCGGGGCTTCTGCAGCGAGCACTGTCACCAGCAGTTCAAAGAGAGGTAAAGGAGGGGACCCTGCTCCACCCAGCTGTGCCTCAGTGCTCCTCTCCTCCTCACTCAGATGCACCAGAGCAGACCAAGCTGCCCCCAGCAGAAGGCCTGTGCCACTGTGACACCTGTGGCCGGAGACACGTGTCGGACACAGCCCGGGAGGGCCGGGGCTTCTGCAGCGAGCACTGTCACCAGCAGTTCAAAGAGAGGTAAAGGAGGGGACCCTGCTCCACCCAGGGCCTCTGCCCTCCCTCCCCTCACCCCTCTGCTCCTGCAGGGGATGCAAGTGCCTCTGTCCCTGGCAGGTGCTGGGGACCCCACTGTTTTCCCTCTCTGCTGTAGGAAGAGTGCCCTGGGGTTGAAGCCTTGTCCCAAGGGCCCGCAACCCAGGAGCCAGATTTTCTCCTGCCCAGCTTGTGGCCTCATAAACACCTACCTGCTGAGCAGGGCTGCAGCAGGGTGTTGCTTCAGTGGGTGCTTCCAGGCTGAGCAGCAGTGGGAGCTGTGGGTCACGAGGGCATTTCCAGCCCCCCTGCTTACTGACGTGTGACTCCTGGGACTCGTTTTGCAGCATCTCTGTATGACTCCGATGCAGCCTCGAGCCCTGCTACAAAACTGAGTTGCCTTTGAGCCATTCCTGGGTTCAGGTTTCTGACACCCAAGCACGTGAGGGTGATTCTGGCCTGTACCCTGGTTCTAACCTCTTGCCCACTTGCCTGTGACGTTGGTCAGGAGGGATGGGGGCACGTGTGGGTAGCTGGAGGGACTGATCCTCCCGCAGCCGCTCCCTTGCCGGCCGTTGGATTTTTTAGGTTTACTCTTCCTTCCTCCATGCAGGTCTGTCATTGTGGAAAACTCTGCCAGCAGCACCAATGCCACTGAAATCCTCAAGCCAGTGAAGAAACGAAAGAGGAAGGACTACCAGAGCCCTTCAGAGGAAGAGTATGAGTCTGAGCAAACGGTAGGAGGAGTGCAGGCAGGGTGTGTGTGTGCTCGTGCCCGTGTCTGTTGGGGTGAAGGTTGGGCTTGGTGATCCTAGGTCATGGTCCTTCCCAACCACAGTGATCCTGTGTCTGGGGCAGGCCGTGGGCCACCCCTTGTATGTGCTGTAGGTATCGAGCTCAGCTGCTCTCTTGAGCCTGGGCCACCAAAGTAAGTGGTGAAGTCAGAGTCTGTGTGATTTGTGTACTGGGGATGGGAGAGGGACTTTGACAAGGCAAGGAAGCTCTGCTTGCCAGCCCTGACTGTAGCAGAACAGCTCCACGTGTGATTAATGCCCCTCAGCACCAAAATCCCCCTCGGGCTCCCAGCATCAGATCCTCTTGGCTGCACATTTCTGGGCCGAGCATCAGTCTAATCATGGTGGTTGCAGAGGCACAGTGTGGCCCTTTGCACCAGTGTGAGGGTAGGAGACAGCCTACACCTCTGCACACACCTCCAGCACGATGAGCTTCTGTTTTGTCTGCTCCCATGTCTAGGAGGAGAAGCAGGAAGAGAGGAAAAGCTCTGCAGGAGACTCTGCTGTCAGCAACCCAGAGAGCGACACGTGGAACGGGAGCCAGCACGGTACGAAGGGGGGGTGGGCAGTGGGCTGAGCGTGTCCACCACGGCTGTGGGGTCCTGCTGTGGGGCTGTGGGGTCCCACTGTGGGGCTGTGGGGTCCCGCTGTGGGGCTGTGGGGTCCCCCTGTGGGGCTGGGCCAGCACTTTGTGCTCCAGCAGAGTCCAACACCCAGGGCAGTGCGCTGGTACACGTTCCTGAAGGCTTGTCAGCTCCTCTGCTTGCCTGATCCTGCTCTCTCTGTCTCTTTCCGTTTCTCTCCTTTCCTCTCTTTCTCTCCGTGGGCAGAGTGCACCCTACAGGCACGGCTGTGCCCTCTCCAGGCACTGTGCAGGGCTTCCTGGTCCCTCCCCTGGGGGCTGAGTTTGTTCCTTGCTGGTGGATGCCGTGTTGCCCCGAGGGGCCCCCTCCTGAGCAGTCCCCTGCCCGTGCCAGGGCTGGCTTTGCCCCCTGCTTTGGATGGTCTCATGGGGAACTTGCCTCACCTGATGGGGAGCTCACAAGTTTGGGGGCTGCTCCTGTAGGTCTGGCACTGCTGAAGCTGGTTAATTGGGGTTGTCTCACCTTGTGGGGATCTGTTCCTGGACTGTATCAGAGGAGATCTCAAATGCAGAGCTGTCATCACAGAGGGGAAGGAGACAAGCTGAGGGGTGCAGTGGTTCCTTGTCTGGCTTTTCCCTGCGGTGTGATGGGGGTAGGGAGGAAGGAAAACTTGGAGAAAATACTAAAAATAAATGTTTATGGGAAACCTTTTGTCTTTGAATAATGAAACTAGTTTTAAAATGAAACTGTTGCAGCTTCATGCTCCTCTCCATAGCTGAATGCAGGGACAGTAGCAGGGGCCAGATGTCCTTAAGCCTTGATGTTACACCGAGGTACCCACTATTAAAAAGGGATCTACTCCTCACTTGCCACGTCCTTTTCTCTACAGTCTGAGCCCAGAGTGTGTAACCTTCCCTGCTGCATACAAGTAAGCAGTGCTGAGCCTTGTGATTTCAGCATTTTCTTTTCTCTTGGTTGAGAAGTACATCAGCAAAGAGCATACGGCGTGGACACTTCAGTGCAGCAGTCTGTGTGCACCCCCTCTCTAGTGTGTTTGTCATTCTCCAGAACTGCAGAGCTTGTACTGATGGATTCCCCAAACATGCCTGCCACTTTTTTTGATGTCCCAAAATGTTTGTCACTCTGAAGTATTAGCAAAGCACTTGGGTTAGTGGCGTTGGTCACTGGAGCTCCACTTTTTCTTTTGCAAGTTCCTATTTTTTCCGTTTCCACTTCCCCTAAGTGGGGAGGAAGGAGCTGGTCTGATTTGCTTGTTTCTGGCTTGCCCTGCCCAAGGCTTTCTGCCATGGCTGATCTGTAGCTGTGTTGGAATTCAGTGCTGGAACAGGCACAGCCCTCCTGGAGTCCCTTCAGGCACTGAGAGGCAGGGAGAGAAAGCAGCTGGAGAGCAGGAGGCTGGGGTTGAGCCTCATGTGCAAAGGGGCAGAGTCATGAGGGAGGACTGTGAAGAGGTGATGCTGTCACCTTTGCTTGGATACCATAAGGGTAAATACATCTCTAGGGCATCCAGGTGTGCCAGGGGGGCTCAGGTGGTTGTCTCAGAGCAGGGAGCAGAGCTGGTTCCTCTGGAGCAGTGGTGGCAGGTGAGCCCACTGCTGCTGTGACTGGCTGGGAGTGATTCCCACACCTCTGGATGGATCCCACGAGCTGCCCCAGATCCGCCAGTGCTGTGGCCATGTGGGATGTGCTGGCTGGAGGAGGACTGGTTGCAGAGGTGCCCTGATGCTCTGCACAGGATGCTTTGTCCCTCTGGCTCCTCGGGTGCCTTGCTAGAGCACTGCACAGCGCCGGGACGTGCGGGTGGTGCTGAGAGAGGAGCCCCCTCGGCCCCGTCCTCCCGGGACAGCTGGCTGGGTCTGCTGGAGCAGGGGCTCTGGCAGGATGGTGCTGAGCTCGGCGGGGTGTCGGGCTGGAGCAGACCCTCAGCAGGGCTCTTGTGTGTGCGTTTGTGCTGCGCTCAGGTGCCAGTGAGGAGAAGAAAGAAGGCTGGTCTTGGGCGTCCTACCTGGAGGAGCAGAAAGCTGTCGCTGCCCCTTTAGATCTCTTCCAGGATGTGAGTTGGGATTTTCCTGTCTTTTTCCCTCTTTGATCTTTGCTTTCCTTTCCCTTTTTTTTCCCACCCCTCCTCCTTCTCCTCTCTTCCTTGCTGCCCTGTTTTGTGGGACTCTGAGTGATAAGCAAGCTCCTGTCTTCACCAGGAGGTGACCAGTCAGCCTCCAGTTTTGGTTTGCCCCGAGTCCTGCTCCCCAGCAGGGTGCTGTGCCCCATTCCAAGCACCCCACATTTGCCTGGGACGTCCCTGTGGCTCTGGCAGGGTGGTGGAGCCTTTCCAGCCCTTCCTTGAAGCTGGGTGTGGGTTCTCCTGAGGCCATGTTGCTGTGCTGTGCCCCTGCTCCCAGGAGTCTGACTGCCAGAGTGCAAGAGGAGCCAGGGCTGGGCCCCAGTCTCCCTGGCTGTGGCTGTTGGCCCAGGGACACCCTGCCCGGCCAGTGGCAAGAGATGTGAACCCACAAGGAGGTGGGAGAATGTGTTTTTCTGTGGGAAAGGAATTAAAACTTGGATGACAACCTAACCAGTAGCCCACATTCTCCTGGTCCCAGCAGGTCCTGACGGTTGCTCCTTGGGACAGTTCCAGACCCAGCCACCTGTGCTGGTTTTTACAGTGTAGTTTAATTTTTGTTTCCAGTACCAAGTAGCTTCCCAGCACAAGAATGGCTTTAAAGTGGGGATGAAGCTGGAGGGGATCGATCCGCAGCACCCGTCCATGTACTTCATCCTGACCGTGGCTGAGGTGAGGTGCCCCTTCCTCCCACCTTCCCTGCGTCCTCCTCGCCCAGGCTGCAGCAGGAGGCTCTGTGGGAGGGGAGGGGACAGGCCCTGGGCCCTCGTCTGCGTGTCATCCTGTGAGATGAGCTGGTGCTCCAGCACCTCATGGAGCCAGCGGGGAGTTTCCTTCCACTCCGCAGGGACAGGAGGCAGAGCCTGGCTGGTCTCTCCTCAACGCTGACAGAGCTGGGCCGTGGGGGGAAAGACTGTGGGGATGGCAGCAGCTTCTTACCTTTGAGCTGTCACCTCTCGGGCAGGTCTGAGCCCTTGAGCTGGAGGGTGTGGGGGTACCCCATTGCTCATCCTTGTGTCTGTGGGGCTCTCCACTCGGCCGTGTGGCAGCTGGAGCAGCCCTGCAGCGCTCCCCGGGCAGAGCAGCCGTACCACAGTGCCTGCTGTGCCTGCTGCCAGAGAGATTTCACCCAGGCCGCATACCCCTGAGCTAAAACCCCTCTGCCAGCATCTCCCCGGGGTGCAGGAAGGGGAACTGGGACACTTGCTGGGCCCAGCAAGGTGCCCCACCACGGCATCTCCCAGCAGCCTGAACCCCCCTCCTTCGGGCTGGCTGGCGGTGCCTTATTCCGTGCCGGGCACCCGGTCGGACTGGCACGTGCCTCCCGCCTTGGCACTGGCCTGTGACTGACCCTTGGCTCCCCAGGTGTCACGCTGAGGTGGTGTGTGGGAGGGCAGGTGCAGGCGACGCTCGGCCCGGGGCAGCAGGAGGTTTCCATGCCCCTTCCCTTCTGCTGCGTGCGCCTGCACTTCGACGGCTACTCGGAGTGCCACGACTTCTGGCTCAACGCCGACTCCCCCGACATCCACCCCCCGGGCTGGGTCGAGGAGACGGGGCACAAACTCCAGCCCCCGAAAGGTAAGGGGCTGCCAGCCCGGGCGGCGGGGCCCTGCGGAGGGAGGGGGGCGAGTGCTGGGTGCCCAGGTGTAGAGCTGGAGGTGGGGACAGGGCGAGCTCTCCGTGGGGCTGGGCGTGGCCTCCCAACCTCCTGGCTGCTCTCCGTGAACTCGCCGCTCTCATTTCTCTTCCTGAGGGGTTGTAGGTTATAAGGAAGAAGAATTCAGCTGGACGAACTACCTGAAGTTAACAAAAGCTCAGGCAGCTCCTAAGCAGCTCTTCATGGTCCGAAACGCTGTGAGTAGCAGCTGCTCCTTCCTGCCGGGTGTGACTTCTTCCCTCCAGCTGAGCAGAATCCCTCCACCAGTGCTGGGCTTTTCTCTGCCCTCCCCACAGGGCAGGGGGCCAGGGGAGGGTGCTGCTGGCACTGCCTGAAGAGGTGTGGCGTGCTTTGCCGCTGGGAGCCTGTAGCTTGGACACTAGTTTGGTGTGCCCCAAACTGGCGTTGGTCTGATTCACTGTTTCATCCAGATCAGTCTCATGGACAGTTAAATCTGTAGCAAAAGTGCTGGTGAGGAGGGGTGATCTCCACTGTCAGCAATTATTTTGCCAAAATCCCTCAGTTAATGCTTCATAAGTACAATTATTTTGTCTCTGTTTGGTGTCTCCATTGTTACTGTCACTACCTTTATTTTTCATGTGGCAGCTTGGGCAAGGAAGGTGGGAATATAACAGAGGGTAAAAGGCTGATGATTTCCTTGTCAGCTGCAGAGGAAACTCGACTCATAAATAAGCCTCTCCAAGTTATTCCTTGTGCCTAAACCCTCCTGTCATTGCCACAGCAGTCCCACTAGCGGGTGCGAGGCAGTGGTTTGCACAGATTTGAATCCATGAAATAAAGCCCAGGTGGGATGAAAGGCTCCATCCCAGCTCCTCCTGCCAAGCCTGGGGCATTGGACACTGCGAACACTGGAGGGCTGAGACCACAAACAAGTGTTTTGTGACAAAATCTGAATTTGTGTAAGTTGGAGGCTGGCTTTGTCTTGGAGGTTACTGCTTAGAGAAGCTCCTGAGAGTGTGAAGACTTCTTCTCTTTCTTTGTGTGGCCAAGCTGAGCTACTTTCTGTCTGCCTCTTTTCCTGCTTGCACAGCAGGGCGCTGCCTTTCTGGAATCCTGAGTGGGCCTGTGCCTGCCTGGAGGCCAGGGAGGGTCTGGGTTTGGGAGGACTTGGGCAGATGCCTCCTCGCAGCGGGCAGGGGAGGTGGTGAGAAGGGCAGTGGGACCACAGGTCTGAAAGAAACCTGCCCCTCTCTCCTCCCAGCACGAGGTTTCTCCAGGCTTTGAGGTCGGCATGAAGCTCGAAGCTGTGGACCGCATGAACCCTTCCCTGATCTGTGTTGCCACAGTGACTGACGTGGTGGACAATCGTTTTCTGGTGCACTTTGACAACTGGGATGATACTTACGACTACTGGTAAGTGCCCAGAGGCTCCTGGGGTGCCAGTGCTGGGGAGACACCCTGCCACTGCTTCAGCAAGAGGGATGGGGTGCTCAGGAAGAGGTGGGACAATGCCAGCACAGACAGGCTGCCAGTGGTGCATGAGGCAGAGAGTCACCTGCCTGTGCTGGGGCAGTTTCTGGCTGCTCCTCACTCTGGCAGCTACCTGCCCTGTCCCTGGGCAGACCTGCAAAGCAGCAGCACTGGGTGCGTTCAGGGGGAAGGGTTGTGTGAAGGTTGCATCATGCATGAAGGTTGAAGACTTTGGGTTCTGCAGGGGCCTTTGCTGGGGGTGCCAACAAGTGGCCTGCCCCGGGCCCCTGCAGCCCGTGCTGTCTGTGGTGAGCAGGGTGTCTCAGCCTGGTGTAAGAGCTTGGGTGTGTTTCCTAGGTGTGACCCCAGCAGTCCCTACATCCACCCCGTGGGATGGTGTCAGGAGCATGGCAAACCCCTCACACCTCCTCAAGGTGAGTCTGGCCTGGGGGTGCAGCCTGCCCGGTGTGTGCCCTTGGGGACAGGCTTCCCCGGGTGGCGTGGGGGGCCTGGGGGTGCAGATCCCGTGGCCACCACTGTCTGCAGGCCTGGGCAGTCTCCTTCAGCAAGGCCACAGCCAGGGAGGTGGCAAGCTCCTGCTGAGGCTCCTGTACATGTGTTCAGGTGCAACGTGGTGGTTGAGTCAGGGTGAGTGGAGACATGAGGACTCAAGCTCTCTGTGCAGGCCCAGGTGTTTCTGCTTCCTTGGAACCTGGATTTCATGGTCCATGAGGAAATAGCAGCACTTCTTGATGTCTCTGAGGTTCCCATTTGCCTGGCAGAGACTTGGTTGGTCCTTCAAGGCAGTAGGATGTTCTGGGGTACTTGCTGCCCTCCTGCAGGCGGGTCTCACCTTCTGCATCTTCCCCTTTCTAGATTATCCTGACCCCGACAACTTCACCTGGGAGAAGTACTTAGAGGAAACTGGAGCATCTGCTGTCCCAGCTTGGGCCTTTAAAGTGGTGAGTGCTCCATCATCTGCTGCACTGTGCCTGGCAGGCCTTTGCTTTTGGGAAGAGCCAGGGGATGTTCAGTACGCTCCTGCCACAGGCCTGGGGCTCAGCTTTACCCTCAAGGTTCAGAAGTCAGAGCTATGCTGGACAGGTAGTTCAAAACTGGGAAAAATGGGCAGTATGCCCATCCCCTGGGCCAGACAGGAGCCAGGCATCACTGATGCTTGCCTGATAGTTGCCTCCAACTGCAGCAACAGCAGCTGTGTCCAGCCAAGCGTGGCTGCAATATAAATCCCCAAAATGTGTCTCTGGCACAGCTTTGCCATCTTGTGAGAGCACAGCTCAGACCCGGGAGGCCTGTCCCTGCTCTCTCCTGTTGCCTCTGCGGGCAGGGCTGGCTCCTCCTCGGGCAGGCCCGGGCTGGGAGCTGGGCTTGGGGAGCCCATGCTGCTGGGAGAGCTGCCCGGGGGCACTGGAGCCCCAGGCACAACCCTGCTCCCCACTGACCCGGGTTCCTCCCGGCCCCAGCGCCCACCCCACGGCTTCCTGGTCAACATGAAGCTGGAGGCAGTGGACAGGAGGACTCCTTCCTTCATCCGAGTGGCCAGCGTGGAGGACGTGGAAGATCACAGGATAAAGGTGGGTGCTGGAGCCTCGGTGCTGAGCCTGTGCCCAGGCTTGGTGCTGCCCTTCCTGTCTCAGTCCCAGCTGCAGTGGCACAGGGTGGGGAGGTCTGGGGAAGCACACTCTGCAGAGCTTGGCAGGTCCAGAGCCTGGCTCCAGGAGTGGAGGAGAGCCTTATGCTGGCTGCAGTTTGTCTTGCTGTCAGCTTGGAGGGCTCCAGAGCTTCCCAGGGAGGTGCCCTGGGGTTTGAAGGGTGACTGCTCTGCTTGTCTCCCCAGATCCATTTTGATGGCTGGAGCCACGTCTATGATTTCTGGATTGATGTGGATCATCCAGACATCCACCCCATAGGCTGGTGCTCAAAAACTGGACACCCACTGCAGCCTCCTCTCAGTAAGTCCTGTGCCTGGGTCAGGCCCTCATCCCAGGGCCCAAGAGTGCCAGCTGCCCACGGTCACCACTGCCTGCTCGGGCACAGGGGTGGCAGGGTGGGTGCTGGTGAGGATGGGCTGGGAGGAAGGGCCTCTCCATGGAGCTGTCAGTTGGAAGAGGCCTCCCTGTGTGGTGCAGGTGGGGAGCCCAGAGCCCTGGATCTCTCTGGGACTGAAGCTCTGACGATCTCTCTCCTTTTCCTTCTCTTGTCTAGGGCCAAAGGAACCAGCCTCCTCTGCCCAAGGGGGCTGCCCCACCCTGGGCTGCAAGAGCATCCCTCACACCAAGAGCTCCAAGTACAGCTTTCACCACAGGTGAGCTCCTCAGCGGGGCACAGCCTCCCTGCCAGCCAGGCTGGCCCTTCCTCTGCACCCCTCACCTCGCCAGCACCCAGCCCCTCCCTGCACCCACCCCACGCTGAGCTCTGCCCCCGCTTAGGGGCAGCCCTGGCTCTCCCCAGGCCAGGCCCCAAGGCAACCCAGAGCTGGTGGCTGGTGTAACTCCTGTGAGCTCCTGCTCAGCACCCAGAGCCCCCGGGGGTGCCCTGTGTGCCCACCTGCCCGTGGGGACCTAGGACTGTGTAGGACACAGTGCTTCTAAGATGCTGTTCACTGATGGCAGCTTCGAGGGTGATGTTCCTCCTGCTCCCCATGGATGCCTCTCACTTTGTTGTTGATGGAGAGCTGGGAAATCAGAAGCAGCAGTGCACGACCCCCAGCTCGGTGCATCGCTGGCGTGGCCTTTCCCAGGGGAAGCCAGGCAGGGTAGTGCTGAGCCCAGCGCGACAGGCGTGGTGGGGCGTCTGGGAGGATGGGGAGGGCAGGTCTGGCACCCAGAGCTTTCCTCTGCTGGCCACACTCGTGACACTTGCTTCTTCCTCAGTCTGAGGCTAGACTGGCTGCCTGTGGGGGCAAGGAGGACTCTGTCAACACCTGCTTGACCAGCACTGGGGTGACTTGCCCACAGGGTGGCTGTGAGGGCAGTGGGGACGGTGCGTGTGTAGCTGGAGGTGCTGGGGTGCCCTGCCCTCGCCCCGGGAGTCTGCTCAGCACATCTTCACTCTGCTGTCTGCGGCCAGGCCCACGGCGTGCCGTGCTGGGAGGCGGAGGGGCGGCCCTGCTCTGAGCTGGCTCCAACGCTTGCCTCCCCTCTGTTCTCCAGGAAGTGCCCCACGCCGGGTTGCGATGGGTCAGGACACGTGACGGGGAGATTCACGGCCCATTACTGCCTCTCAGGGTGCCCGCTGGCGGAGAAGAACCAGGGCAGGCTGAAGGCAGACCTGTCCGACACCGAGGCCTCGGCTCGCAAGAGGAACCTGATGTTCCCCCAGCGCAAGAAGTCTCGGCACCACGGGAGGTAGGGGCCAGCCCGGGAGCCCTGTGCCACAGCTGCCACCCCCGGGAGGGTGCCCAGGCTGGAGAGGCTCTGACCACGGGGGAAGGTGGCTGCTGGCAGCTGGCGTTCCTCCTCCCAGCTCCTGGGGCACCTCTCTTTTTCCTTCCTGTGTTTTGTGCCCTTTGGGCCAGGGTCTGGGAGGCAATCCTTGCCCCCCCTGCCAAGGTGTGGTGAGGAGCAGGGCCCTTGGGCCAGTCCCAGCCCAGTTGGCAATCAATCTTCCTGTCTCTTTAGAGGGCGGCCTCCAAAGTACCGGAAGATCCAGCAGGAAGACTTCCAGAGTAAGTGCTGTGGCAGGGCTCGGGGAGCGGGGGGTGGCTGCTGGAGGCAGGGCTCCCTTGGCTCCCCCAGACCTCAGGCAGGTCAGCACTGCTGGGGGGCTTGTGATCCACTGCCAAGGTTGGCTATCTGACAAGGAACGTCCCTGCCTTTGACCAGAGCTCTGCTAGGTCCCTAGCATGTCTCCTGCTCTGTCTGTGAGTCTTGGAGGGCTGTAGGGTGGGAGTTAGGATCTTCTCCCCAAGGCAGTGCGTTTTCCCCAGTGCTTTGTCCCCTTCAGACACGGGTGCTGTGCCTGCATCCTGTGGCTGCCATCCCCAAAATATCAGGGTGGTTGTGAAGTGCCAGGTGATTGCTGCGGCACAGAAAATGGTGCTGAACGGTTTGCTTGGCATTTAGTTCTGGTGACAGACATAAGATGATGACTGACGTGTGTTCTAGCCAGCGTCATTTTCACCATGGGCTGTCCTGCTGCCTTCCCCAGCACCGGGGGTGAGTGAAGAGGATCAGTTCTTAGAAGCCATCCTTGACACCTTGGAGCAGAGAGGAAGGGAAAAGCTTTGCTAAAAACATGAAGTGAATCATTTTGGATGTCATTCTGGTTGAAATTTGACATTGAAATGTAGTTCAGTGTGGAAAATGAATGACTGAAGGTGGTGAGAACAAGGCAAAGCCAAGCTTGTCTCTAAGCATCTTCCCTCACCATCCCCAGTCCCACCAAACTCAACACTTGGATGCACTGATAACCTGTTAATTCCAGGGACAGCCACTAGCTCTTGATACCTGGACCTCTAACATCATCCACTGCCAGTCCTGGGCCCTCCCCTGAAGAGAGCCCTCCCCGAGGCCTGCAGGACACGATGGGATGTCCTCGTGCTTGCACCTGGTAACACACCTTGCACTTGTGTTGCAGCCATTTCCTCAGACAACATGCACCAGTCGCTCTTCATGTCCGCCCTGTCTGCTCACCCCGACCGCTCCCTGGCGCTCTGCTGGGAGCAGCACTGCAAACTCCTGCCAGGGGTGGCTGGCATCACGGCCACCACGGTGGCCAAGTGGACCATTGATGAGGTGAGGTGGTGTTGGAGACTGCGTGCTGATTCCTCCCAACCCCCCGGCACGGCTGGGAGCCCCCTGCACAGAGGTGCCTCAGTGGCCACTGCCTTGGGCTAGCCAGGAGTTCTGCTGGACACCCCTGTGGGGTGACGTGGGGAGAGCTGCTCCTGGGGAGCACGTGCAGGACTACCAGGTTGCTGCTTGGCTTGAGTGTGCCAGCAGCCCTGGTGGGGAGGGGGAGGTGGGCAGCGGGCTCTCCGTTTGGCACACCCCAGTTCTCAGGGAAGCTTCAGCTTTGCCAAGTTAAAAAATGAAGCCACGGGCGGTGCAGACGGGCAGTCGCTTCCCTGTTGCTCTGAAAGAGGAGCCTTTACCTCGGATTCTTCATCATCACCTTCACCCACTTTCTTGGGCATCTATGGTGGCCCCTTTCTCAAGGCCTGGGTAGCTGGAAGTGGCACCAGCCCCAGCAGCCAGCCCTGCCTGGTGCCCTGTGTGACCCTCCTGTGCCTGCCCCTCGGCAGGGATCGTCTCAGGCAGGAGAGGAAGCTGCTGTAGCATTTGCTGCCTGGGGCTGGAGGAGGCCAGCACTGCTGCCTGGCCCGAGGCTGGTCTCTGGGCATGGGAGGGTGCTGCAGCTGCAGCCCTTGTCCTAGCAGCCACGTGTTACCTCACAGGGCACAAAATGCCCCTGTGGAAGTGAGGTGGGCTCCTGGGGGGTATCCAGCTTCTGCCTTGACATTTTTCTCTGTTTCTTCCAAGGTCTTTAGCTTTGTTCAGACTCTGACGGGTTGTGAGGACCAAGCCAAGCTCTTCAAGGACGAGGTGAGAAGGGTTGGAGGCTGAGTGCAGGTGGCCAAGGGCAGCTGTTTGCCAGCAGGGCGAGGAGGAATTGGCCCATGGCCTTCCTGCACCACATTGCTGCTGAGTGCTGGGAGCACGTGCAGGATCTGGCAGTGAGCCCACCCTGCCCTGGGGGCAGCACCCCACTGCGTCCCAGTGTGCAGCTCTCTGCCCCTGCAGGCGTGGTGGTGGGAGGGGAGGTGCTGACCCCCAGGGAGCTGTCCTGTCCTGTTCTCCTGGCGTGGGTGAGGGAGGGCCCCTCTGAGGAGGCTACGATGGGGAGGTGGGGGGAGGATGGAGCTGCAGCCTTATAGCACCATCACCTCCTGAGGCAAGGTGCTTGCTCCTCACCCATTCCTCCTTCCCCCTCTGTCCCCTCGCCAGTGCAGCAGCTTGGTGCTGTTGCTCTCTGTCAGCCAGGCTCATTTTAGACCCCTCTGGAGAGCTGCACGGAGGGGCTGCTTCCCATACACCCAGGGCACACAGCCAGTGTCCCAGCCTCCCAGGAATGGGCCCCTGTGCTCTAAGGGTGCTCAGGCACACAGAGCTGAGCTGGGGGCAGCCTCTGCTCGTGCCAGGACCTGGAGCAGGGCACGGATGAGTGTTTGCCTGGAGCAGGAGTCCCGCTGGCTGTGTGCTGTGCCCTTGGGCTCTGGTGCAGAAGCCTGGGGCAGCTGCAGTGTGAGCTCTGGGGGTGGTCCCTGGAAGAGCCTTTCCTCATCTCCACCCCGTTCCTGGGCGCGCGAGCTCCCGGCTGCGGCTCCTCTGGGGCAGCCTGTGGGCATCCCTTGCCCTGCTCCCTGGCATCAGCTGGGGCAGCTGGCTGAGGGCGAGCGTGACTGTGCCCGTCGCCGGGTGGTGCCCGTGCTGGCTGTCCCTAGGGGGTGTCACCCGGGGTCCTGTGAGTGCCTCTGTCCCTGCTCTGCAGATGATCGACGGCGAGGCGTTCCTCCTGCTGACGCAGGCTGACATCGTCAAGATCATGAGCGTCAAGCTGGGCCCAGCCCTCAAGATCTACAACGCCATCCTCATGTTCAAGAACGCCGACGACACCTTAAAGTGACTTTTCTTGGCCCTCTGGGGACCCTCCTTCAGCACCGGTGCTGCCAAACTGGCTGGT